ACTTTAATTTAATATAAAAATCATTAAAATCCATTTGCTAAAAGTATAAAAAATATTTACTTGAAATTTTCAAAAAAATTGCAAAGATGCACAATTTACAGCATTGCATTCTCTTACATTTTTTGAAGTTTACATGCTAAATTTATAGCTCGATATTGTGTTTTACGCGTAGACAAAAGGGTGTACTTTAATTTAGTATAAGTTTTATTAAAATCCATTTGCTAAAAGTATAAAAAATATTTACCAAAACTTTTYAAAGAAATTGCAAAGATGCACAATTTACAGCATTGCATTCTCTGACATTTTCTGAACTTAGCATGCTAAATTTATAATTCGATAYTGTATTCTACGCGTAGACAAAAGAGTGCACTTTAATTTAATATAAAAATCAATAAAATCCATTTGCAGAAAGTATAGAAAATATTTACTCAATATTTGATTACGTGTGATAAGATAAGGTGTTTAGGATCAAATTGTATTGTAATATGTTAAGTTTTATTGAAATGTATGACTCTGTAAAAAAGATAATATGCATTGACACGTAAACTTTAAATGATCAAGTTGCTGATGAAGTCCTCAGTAAGGGACGAAACGTACAACTAGTTGAAAATAAATTGTTCATTAGATTTATTAACCGTCCATAATTCCCTTTGAGACTTATATATAATTTATTATATTATATAAGCAAAATATATTTCCAAAATAATAATAAATCTAAAATACCATAAAGACATTTATATATATATATATATATATATGAAATAATATTTACATTATTTAATATTGTAATATTTTTCAAATTAATATTTCTCACCATTAATAATCATTTGAATAGAAAAGTATTAGAGGTAAAAATAAAGAAAAAGAAAAATAAAAAAAAAGATAAAGAACAGTTGATTCGTCCTTTTAAAAAACGTATAAGGACTTACATACGCAAGGTGATTTTTTGATCATGGGGTAACGACACGATTATACAATACATCGAGATAACATCGACGGAACTAGTAACTGGCATAACAGTATCGCACAATTGTCAATATAATAACCGTACGTCGTTGTGCAAACGACACCATCATCCCCCCATACTGTACGTTTCTAACCCACACGCATAGAAAATCTACGGAATATGTCGTATAAACGTTACGTATACTATTATTTCTTTTTCAAATCGACAATTTTATTCAAATAATATATAAACAACAGGAATATTTTTTTTTTAACATATTCAAATACCTACACTAACGTTTTTTTTTTAAATCGAGTCCAATGACTATAATAATTAAATCTACTTTTTGTTTTCCGATAAATTGATTATAATTTGCATTAGTTTGAATGATATGGAATAATTTAATATAAACAAAAGAACTATTGTTTGATAAACAAATTTATTCGCGTATTAAAAATGAATGATTGAAAATTAGTTAACATTTTATTATGATCAAGGAACGAATAAAAAAGGAATGACGTTGCAATTAAATATGATATTAAAATAAAATTGACGATGTTTATAAATAGTATGCAGTAGTATATATTTTGTTATACTACGTGTAACAAAAAAAAGTTAAATTAAAAAGAAAAGAAATGAAAAGATTTTCTATAATTAGAAATTAAAAATATCTAATTGTATAAATATATTGAGAAACTTTTCAAAGAAATATCAAAGATTGCAATGACTATAAATTGTACAACTTTGCTATTTCTTTGAAAAGTTTTAGTAAATATTTTTTATACTAAAAGTGAATAGATTTTAATGATTTTTATATTAAATTAAAGTACACTCTTTTGTCTACAAGTAGAATACCATATCGAGTTATAAATTTAGCATGTAAAGTTCAAAAAATGTCAGAGAATGCAATGCTGTAAATTGTGCATCTTTGCAATTTTTTTGAAAAGTTTCGGTAAATATTTTTTATACTTTTAGCAAATAGATTTTAATGATTTTTATATTAAATTAAAGTACACTC